ACATTTTCAAAGACAAAACCAAACTATATATATTTGTTTTTTTAAACCCACTATAAATTGTTTCTGCAACCTTAAAAACGCAAAATCAACCACTAAACGAATTCATCATTGATTTATTTTTTGGATCAAACCAATTCATCATTGATAACTTTTACTTTTCTAAGAAATAGAAACTTAGACTGATTATACTTCTAGTGCTGATCTCCCAACAAGATCATATGCTTACCCACCTAAGGCTATTTCACTCTAGGAACTGTTATGAGTTACAATTTTGACTTGTATAAATTAGAAAAGAAATATCAAGCAATTAGAAACATATACTGAAAATGAAGTCTATTAAAAACTCTGTTAGCAGCTGTCGTGTGAATATTGTAAGAGTATAAGAGAGAACAAGTGGGTTTTATCTTCTTCTTTGGGTTTAAAGCATAAACTATAAATTATTTCTTCCAAAGTTGAGGCTGTGAATATTCCAAAACTGGTTAAACGTGTGGAACAAACAAAAAAAAAACTATCCAGCGAGATAGAAATTGAAACAAAAAGATTGATCATCATTTTGTTGAGTGTTGAGCACATGCATGTATGTTCTGCTGCAGATTTCTTAGTAAACAAATAATGAAAACATTTTGGGAACTCACTAAATCTTAAATGCTTTGAATTTGATTATTAACTACTACTGTAATTAATGATTGTGGCTATGAAAAAAAAAAAGATTGTGGCTATGATACCTTCATCATTATTATTGTAGTAACCCCAGAAAAAGATAAATTATTATTGTAGTGATAGATTGCATGGGGAATATCCAAATGAAGACTGTTGTCATGTGATGAAAATCCCTTACTTCGTGGGATGTGGTATCTCTTTGCCTTGTTTCTTGGACGTACAATTTTCTCGTCCAACACATGTGTGGTCACGTTCATTTTATTATTACCAAACAATAGATCCGTTTACATATCATATAGCCTTAATTTTTACTTCCTTCAGTTTGTCAATTACTACTATACTGTATTATTTACCACTCTCTTGTTATTTAAAGTTCACACTATGTGATTTCGTCTTTTTATATATTCTCTTTAGATATATTCAATTCCAACTTTTGCAACAAACGATAATAATCGCTCCAAATACTTACACGCAAAGATACTAACGAAATCAAGTTCATGATCCTCGAATGTCAAATACGGATCATTTCAAAGCTTGTAATCTTCAAAAGATATGCTCTGTCTGAGATTAGTGCACTGTATATGAAATCGTCACATGATGATGGTTGTCACTGATAATTTTGTCGCCGTAGTGTTGTGATCGCATAGTTTCCTATTATTATACATACATATATGTTTTCTTTTTGACAATGTAGTATCCATATATGTGTCTTATTATCCTTGCGAGTGTGTTGGTATTTTTACATATATATATATATATATATGTGTCTTATTATTGTGTTTGGGACAAACAATTTTTTATATATCAATTTCTAGTGATCAACCTTAACTAACTAGAAGAACACCATAGTCAAAATCCGAATACATAAGTAAAGAAAATTGTAACTTAACTATCTCGGTATCTATATTTTATCATAAGTCAGATCTAAAATTTAAAAGACCATTATTAGTTTCAATAAAAATTACATTTTAATATTTTATAATACATTCCACACACATATATCTCTTAAAATTTAGGGACTAAAACGAATATTTCATCAGATACCAGAACCAGCCTTGTTTATCATACTGGTTTACTAACTTGTATAAAAATAGATTCCTATGCATGAATGGTTTTATCGATCCAAACTTCCATAAAAGACAATGATGTAATCGGTCAAAAGTGGCGTTCGATAAATACATTGCGACCCAAAGTAAAAAATTCAAGGTGCGATGTTTTAAGCTTGACACCTCAATTCTATTCCTATTGAAGCAGGGTGAACGACGCATTTCAGGTCATGTTTTTGTCACTCATCAGCTAACAAATGCACTATCAGACAACATGTAATTAAATACGCTATATTAACGAGAAAGGGTGCTAACCAAAAAATATCAAACGTAATGTGGAAAACTATACAAGATTTGCCAAGTGCATCATGCGTCCAAGGAAGATGAACTTAGGTTACTCCTATCATTTTGAGGTGGTAAATAGGCCATAATAGTATATTTTAAAAAAAAATCTAAGCAAAATATTCTGATTTTTAAAACACTATTTGTAGTTGCATGCTATATAATTGTAGTTGAAGGAATAATTTATCATATTGTCATATTATACTAGCTAAAAGTTAAAATTAAACTGGTATCTCTTATTAATACCATATATTTTTATTTTATTTTTAAATGTTCCAACATTTTTTTTTTTGATAAAGGGCTTAATGTTCCAACATTTGTGAGGTGAATATTATCATTTTCTTGCTGTTTTGTGTGTCACTAATTGTCCCATATCACTATTTTTTCATTCGTACTATTTTGTGACATGATTGTTTTATGTTGACCTGTATAATCGTGGTAGCTAAACAATAAACATTGTTTGAAAAACTCCCTATAATGTCAAATGGTGTACGCTTGTTTTATTTGACTTTAGTTTATTTTTCAGCTTATTAATTCTGATTTATGACACAAGCACGTACGTACTTCACACTGATATTGCAAACACGTTCAATCCGTATATATTGACATATTGATTAAAGATCAGTGCAGAAATTAAACAGTTATCACCTAATCGTAAAGTTTTTGTAATCAATTATCACCGTCACCGATCACCATTGATGGAGAATGGAAAGAAATGTGGAAACATACATAATGAGATGTGATATGCCCGCAATGATAATGTTTATCACAAAGTCACAACCAGATTATGGTCGCGATCGCATAATTTGTAGTGTCGTTTACTCTATTTTGTTATTGTATTATAAATGAAGATTATGACATTCAAGATGAAAAATAATCTCGTACGATGCTTAAAAAGTTAAAAGTAACATCAAACGATTCCTCAAAACCATTTGACAACAAACACGTATATAATCTACACCGCAAAAGTCCACCCTTCACAGCTTTTACCATTATTTGAATTCTTTTTTGTTTGTTTGTAAGCCATTTTTTCTGCATAATCTTAATTGCAAATGTGGCAAGACTGATGGCAAAAAAAAAAAAAAAAAACTATTACATATTTTTTCTCCAAACTTTTCGTTATTCTTGTTATATTAATACAATCGAATTATAGATGATTGGTTGGCTTGTAAATGTAATAAATTACTATAAAGCTTATGTTGATTTTTTGAGATAGATGTATATATTAATAGACAAAAATATATATATGCTTATCATAATTTTTTTTGTTTGCTTTACAAACAATGCTCCTACTACACTTTTTAACTTTAAAAGCTAATTAAAAATCTAAAGATAACTTTTTATGTTGATAAATAAAACCAAAATTTAAAATATTTATTACAGCCCAATCAATCACCCTTAATGTTCGTTAGATTTTCTTATACTTCTTTACCAATTCATCAATTTCTCTAGATTTTACTAATGTTTAATGGAAATAATAAATACTCGAGCCGCAATTGGTTTCACTTTCAAATAATATTTTATAATATCTGAAATTTTATATGACCAACAACTATACTATTATTTTGTTACTAAATTCTCATCTATAAATTCAATCTTCCAAAAAAGAAAATGTTAAATAGAGAAAGTCCACAAAACTTCACAGTTCACCCGCCTCTTCTCTCAAAAGTTTCTCTCTCCGTTTTAATGCCGGACTGAGATTTCGGATCTCAACTAAACATACTCCTCCTCCTTCCTCGTATCTCAACAGTGTCGTCGATGTTAGGACAAGACGAGGATCTGCACGTCCGAACGATGAGCGGGAGAGGGAGTTTAGGCTCCACAAGTCACCGGAGTAGTTTACCCGGAGCTTCCAAAAGCTTCAGAGACGTCTTCGCTCCTCAGGCGACGGACGAGGTTTTCGGGAGTAGCAAACGGAGAGATGAGGATGACGTGGAGCTCCGGTGGGCGGCGATAGAGAGATTACCGACGTATGATAGGCTGAGGAAAGGGATGTTGCCGCAAGAAGCGACGGTCAACGGGAAGAATAGGCTTGAAGAAGTTGACTTAACGAATCTAGAACCTAAGGAGAAGAAACATCTCATGGAGATGATCTTTAAGTTCGTTGAAGAAGATAACGAGAAGTTTCTTCGTCGTTTGAGAGAGAGAACAGACAGGTTTTCTTAAAATTTTATTACACAACTACATAAACAACATTATTACAAATCTCTTTTGTCTGAAAATTTTGGAATCTTTTATTTATTTATTTTTTAATTGAAAAAACAGAGTGGGGATTGAAGTTCCAAAGATTGAAGTAAGGTATGAGAACATATCAGTGGAAGGAGATGTACGTAGTGCAAGCAGAGCTCTTCCTACTCTCTTCAACGTCACACTGAATACACTCGAGGTTCTTACTTTTATCTTGTTCGATGTTTTTGAGGCAAAAAAGATCTTAGAGTTTCAAGTAAAAAGTCAAAACCTAACTTTGCGGCTTGCTTCTTGGACATCAATGTTTCCTTTTATGGGATGAAAACCTTGCGGGTCCAATATTAGAATATTTCTTTTAAAAATATCATAACTTAAATTTATGAAACTAAAAAGGACTTTCGAAATAATATATTCATTTGATTGCCTACTTGCTTCTTTTCTTTCTTTTTTATTTTTGTGTTGGTTGATTTTGAAGTTTTTATTTTGTTAATAGAGTATTCTTGGAATGTTCCACCTCCTTCCATCTAAAAAGAGGAAGATTCAGATACTTAAAAATATCAGTGGCATTGTCAAACCATCAAGGTACTATAATGCAACATTGTTATTTGCTATATTATATAATTGATGAAATTTTAGAGGAAATAGATTAATGAGTAAAATTCTTGTTGAACATTCTCCAGGATGACCTTACTACTTGGTCCACCAAGTTCAGGGAAAACAACTTTGTTACAAGCTTTGGCTGGAAAGCTTGATGACACCCTCCAAGTTTGTTCTCTCTACTCTCATATATATATATATGAGTGTGCTTCTTGTGGTTTGAGTTGACATTGGAAGTGGTAAAACAGATGTCAGGGAAGATAACTTACTGTGGTCATGAGTTCCGAGAGTTTGTTCCTCAAAAGACATGTGCATACATTAGTCAACATGACCTTCACTTTGGAGAAATGACTGTAAGAGAGACACTGGATTTTTCTGGACGCTGTCTAGGTGTTGGGACACGGTACCAGCTGCTCACTGAGCTCTCAAGGAGGGAGAGAGAAGCTGGTATAAAGCCAGACCCTGAAATTGATGCATTCATGAAATCTATTGCTATATCAGGACAAGAAACTAGTTTGGTTACTGATTATGTACTTAAGGTACAATGTTTCTTGCATCTTCTTAGTACTAACAAAGTATTAAGTATTTTTGGGCTCATATTTGGTAAATGCTAACTTGACAGATACTTGGTCTTGACATTTGTGCTGACATACTCGTTGGTGATGTGATGAGACGAGGTGTTTCTGGTGGACAAAAGAAGCGTCTAACAACAGGTAAAAAAATCTTCGAAAGTATCTCCATGATTCATTACAATGTCCATAACTCTGATGACTCTATGTCTAAACTGAGCAGGAGAAATGTTGGTAGGACCAGCAACAGCTCTTTTCATGGATGAAATCTCAACAGGGTTGGATAGTTCCACAACCTTCCAAATCTGCAAGTTCATGAGGCAACTAGTTCATATCTCAGATGTTACAATGATCATCTCTCTTCTGCAACCTGCACCGGAGACATTCGAGCTTTTCGACGACATCATCCTGCTCTCAGAGGGCCACATTGTCTACCAGGGCCCAAGGGAGAATGTTCTTGAGTTCTTTGAGTACATGGGGTTCCAATGTCCTGAAAGGAAAGGTGTTGCAGACTTTCTACAAGAAGTTACCTCTAAGAAGGACCAAGAACAGTATTGGAACAGGAGAGATCAACCTTACAGCTATGTCTCAGTGGATGATTTCTCAAGCGGCTTCAAGTCTTTTCACACAGGACAAGAACTCGCTTCAGAGATCAGGACTCCTTATGACAAATCTAAAACCCATCCTGCTGCTTTAGTGACACAAAAGTATGGTATCTCAAACTGGGAGCTCTTCAAGGCATGCTTGGATAGAGAATGGCTTCTTATGAAACGAAACTCCTTTGTTTATGTGTTCAAGACCGTCCAGATTACAATCATGTCCTTGATCACCATGACGGTCTATCTCAGGACAGAGATGCATGTAGGCACGGTCCAAGATGGTCAAAAGTTTTATGGTGCTCTCTTTTTCAGCTTGATCAATGTAATGTTTAATGGTATGGCTGAACTAGCATTCACAGTGATGAGGCTCCCTGTTTTCTACAAGCAGAGGGACTTCTTGTTCTATCCTCCATGGGCTTTTGCCTTACCAGCTTGGCTTCTAAAGATTCCATTGTCTCTTATTGAGTCAGGAATATGGATTGTTCTTACATACTACACTGTAGGTTTTGCTCCTGCTGCTTCCAGGTACATTTGCTTGATTCAAATGCTAATGAATATCACTTTTTTTATAGTCTCTTGAACTAAACCAAACTTGTGTCCATTTTAGGTTTTTCCGACAGTTGCTTGCATACTTCTGTGTGAACCAGATGGCACTTTCCTTGTTTAGATTCCTTGGAGCTGTTGGAAGAACAGAAGTTGTCTCCAACTCTGTCGGAACCTTCACATTGCTCATTGTTTTTACTCTTGGAGGCTTCATTATTGCTAAAGGTAAGCAGATGAACTAAGTAAAAGATAATTTTTGGTTTCTTTCTATGAGATTGTTAAGTGAAACCATATACTTATATTCTTATTTACAGATGATATCCCACCATGGATGACTTGGGCTTATTACATATCCCCTATGATGTATGGACAAACTGCTATTGTTATGAATGAGTTTCTTGATGAGAGATGGGGAGCTGTAAGTTTTCACCCAAGTCCTCATTTTCTTGGCTTCTCTTTGCATATTTTGATGCAAAAGCCTGATGTTTTACATGTTACAGCCCAACACTGATACCCGCATAGACGCGAAAACTGTTGGAGAAGTTCTTCTGAAGAGCAGAGGCTTCTTTACAGAACCATACTGGTTTTGGATCTGTATTGTGGCGCTTCTTGGTTTCTCTTTGTTGTTCAATCTCTTTTACATCATAGCCTTGATGTATTTGAACCGTAAGTCCTCTTGTTTCCAAAAACAAAAATCGGATATTCCAATCATTTTTGTAGTTGACAAGATCTTGAATAATGTTTCTTTCCAGCTCTTGGTGACTCTAAAGCTACAGTTGTGGAAGAAGGGAAAGACAAACAGAAAAGGAACAGCCGTGGAACAGAAGGTGAACTCTTTTACTTCACACTAGAGTATGTGTCAAGGTATCTACATCATGTTTTCTGACTCTTGTGTGTAGCTGCAGATTCTCTTGTGGAACTAAGTAACCGTTCAAGTAATGGGCCAAAGAGAGGAATGGTTTTACCTTTCCAACCACTGTCTCTTGCATTTCAAAGTGTGAACTATTACGTAGACATGCCTGCAGTAAGTTCTCAGACAACTTTCTCTGTGTTAGACTTCACAAATTGAGTTTCATTCATTGTTTTTTTAAAAAACATTGCAGGAAATGAAGGCTCAAGGGATTGAAGGAGATCGTCTCCAGTTACTAAGAGATGTTGGTGGAGCTTTCAGGCCAGGCATATTGACTGCATTGGTCGGTGTGAGTGGTGCAGGTAAGACAACCTTAATGGATGTCTTAGCTGGAAGAAAAACAGGAGGATACGTGGAAGGGAGTATTAGCATATCTGGCTACACAAAGAACCAATCAACATTTGCTAGAGTCTCTGGTTACTGTGAACAGAATGATATCCATTCACCACATGTTACAGTTTATGAATCCCTCATCTACTCAGCCTGGCTTCGCCTCTCAGCAGATATAGATACCAAAACAAGAGAGGTAAGTAATTGCTAATCACAAAGTTTCATTGTTGTCTCATTATAAAATTGGTAACCTGTTTTGGCTATTGATAGATGTTTGTTGAAGAAGTGATGGAGTTGGTGGAGCTAAAACCACTTAGAAACTCTATAGTTGGACTCCCTGGAGTTGATGGTCTTTCAACAGAACAGAGGAAGAGGCTTACTATTGCAGTTGAATTGGTTGCTAACCCTTCTATAATCTTCATGGACGAGCCTACATCTGGTCTTGATGCAAGAGCTGCTGCTATTGTTATGCGTACTGTTAGAAACACTGTTGATACAGGAAGAACTGTTGTTTGTACCATTCACCAGCCTAGTATCGACATTTTTGAATCTTTTGATGAGGTTTGTTTGGACTATTACTGTTAGTCACATGGGAACTGTTGCAGAATGAAACTAATGTATCATCTTTGGTTTAATGCAGCTTCTGTTGATGAAACGTGGAGGTCAAGTTATATATGCTGGAAGTTTAGGACATCACTCACAAAAACTTGTTGAATACTTTGAGGTGAATCATTTTTCTTTTTTCTTCCCTTATATGAGTTTGATATCTATTGAAGTAACCAAACCAATGTTTAGAAAAAATCGTTAGGTGGTAGTTAGACCGATTTTAAAAACTTTGTTTTGCAGGCTGTTGAAGGGGTTCCAAAGATCAAGGATGGATACAATCCTGCAACATGGATGCTTGATGTCACTACTCCATCAATGGAGTCACAATTGAGTTTGGACTTTGCTCAATTATTCGCCAACTCTTCTCTTTATCGGTATGTTAAAGAAAAACGTTGCAGGAAATATTGTTTAAATAAAGAATGCGCAGTGGAAACAATGTCCAGTCCAGTGAAAGAACCTATGAAGGTAAAGTTACAAGCTTCCTCATTTACTTGATAAGATTAAACTTATCACTCACCTTTCCTGTGAGTCCTTGAAGAGTACGACAACAAATTAAATCCGTTGCTCCGAGTTTCACCGGAGAACGTCTTTGCGCTGCCGTGTACTTGGCCACTGCCATGATTCACAATCACAGAG